GTGTACACATTCTTAGTTATTAGAAACATTTACTTGAAAATCATGTGCAACAATTTCACTTGCAAGCTATTCCGTATTGCTTTTTATCACATTTCATGTAAAGCTCTGGACATGCTCCATCTAGTTATCTGTATTTAGGGGTATATAGTTAGTATAGGAATGGAAATTCAGCCATTGTACAGCACTACAAAGTACAAAGCAAAGCCTTCATACATACAACATGCATACAAGTACTGCCCTCAGTTCATGTATATTTAAGAACTACAGAGAAACAAAGTTTTTGCATCATTAGCACTTATTGAACAAATTATTTAAATTGATCCCAGTCATATATTTTTCAAAGTAAGACTTACGTTTTGTGTTTTTAAGTTTTCTCGAAATGATGGTGTATAAAGCAGTCTGTTTTTGTGACTTTAACAGGAATGAGGATCTTAACCTGTATGGAGAATGCACAGATTTGTACAAGACTACAGCCACAAATATTTTTGTGAGCATTTCATTTTAGAAAGCCTTTTAGGAGAAAGAAGTGAGACTTTAGTTGAATAGCCAAACGCTGTTCTTTTTCTCAAAACTGTTTCGTAGTGTTTGTTCATCATTGACATGTACTTAGCTGTTTCTATAGCAGTTGTCCCCATGAGAGCTTGGGGTCAGAACATATACTGTATATGGTTAGGTTCCAACTCTTTGTTAATGAGATCTGGAAGACAGAGTTCATCTTTACAGGATGGTAAGGTTTTGTTTATATTTGAATTAAGGATAGAATGTTGCAAAAAAGTTTTTTTTTTTTTTTTTGTTATTAGGATACTTGCTAAAGCAGATGTCCCTTTTTTGATATCTAGAGTAAATTCTGGTTCTGTTTACCATGATATTCTTCTGGCTAGTGTAATGCACATTGTTTAATGATTACTGATGGGCAGTGATCGATGTTTAATGGGATGTCTTGTTATGAAAACCTGTATTTGTACCTAAAAAAGTTGGTAATTTTGCTTTGTATAACTTGTTTGCATTACTGTTTATCTAAACAATTTTGTTAAAAAACAAAAACATTTCATAATTTGTGCAATAAAGTGAAAGCAAAACTGGAGGTGTTTTTCCTGACATTCTTGTTGGCTATTGCAGCCATTTTTATTTTATTTTATTTTTTTAACCACACTGCACTGATCACATCAGAGAGGATTTTTTTAAGCTTTCAGAATTATATTCAAATATATTCACCCAAGAGCCACACAATTAATTTTGATGAACTTTCCTTTACATAATTTGTGGGCATTGCAGCAAGACATTCCTGGCGACAGTTTGAGAAATTTGGTGTGATCCGATATACAGGTAGCATCTTTATATAAAAAGTTGGCTCCTGGCAGTGCAAACAGCGTGCTTTTTATATGACGTTGCCTCCTATATGGACCATGGGTCATTTTTTTTTTAGTTTAAATTCTCCTCTAAGTACATGGTTTCAACTAGTACTCATGCATACATGAAAAAACAGAGAGACCTGCAACTCCGGCATGTTCATGTAATATCATTAGATGTATTTACCTCGTACTGTTTTCAGAATATGGTGTTTTTTAAAATGGGAGTTATTTTAATCATAATGCAGGGCATAAGAAGGGGTAATATATTCAAAACATTACGTACGTGTTTAGTATAACCGCAGTGTGAAGTAAATTACTTGCCTTCAGCACTGCAGATAACTATTCGAGAACATATTCTAACAAAGAGTGCTAGGAAAGGCAAAGAGGTAAGAAGAGGATATTAACTTTGGAAGCTGTGCCCATAATAATGGCATGCAGAGGGCAAAGGTCTAGTCACCAGTATTAGGCTGTGGTCTCCTGTGGCTGATCTTTTCTCCATTACTGTCTCACAGTGGTGCCTTCAGCACCGTGTCTCTGTGTAGAGGCAGGGTTTGATGCCAGAGCCCCTAGCAAAGGGAACTTTGAGCAGCACAGCAGTGAAATCACCAAATTTCACTCCAAATCTGGTAAGACTTGCAGTCACAGGCAGATCTCACACTACAGATATACAAGTATGAGGCTGTAGACACAGGACTGCCACAGACACCCTCACATACCAGGAACTGCACTATTTTTCAGGAGGAATTCATGTGAAAGATGCATTTTCCAGGGAGCTGCTTAGGTACAGTCAACATTTCTAAATCTTCCTTTATAACTTGCTTTTAGGTCCACTTAATCCTTGACAGTCAAGTCAGCAATTCATGTAGAGCATCTTTAATAAACTTGTGTTCGTAAAGAAACAAAAAGAGAAAAAAAAACTGAATAAAACAGTTGCCACAAAATTAATTTAACTGTGAGCAGTTTTCTGATTCAGACAATGGGAGAGAACTGGTTTGCATCACTGAAACATACATTTTTCATGATCTAATGCCCATTCCTTTATATTTTACTTATTCTCTCCTTGTTAGGGTAGGACAGAGGACTGGGCAGGGATGATTTGCTTCCTGGACCAGTACCAATATGATGTGTTAGGCTGGTGGCCCTGAGTAGATACTTTATATATGAATCTTGACAGCACTTTAAGTCAGTAACACATACTGGGTGTTATTAAGCTGCTCCCTGTTCACACCTGAGATCATAGCTTCTGCCAGAGGAAAATCATCTGGTGTCAACTTCCTCTGTGGCTCTAGGATGTCCTGTGAATAAATGCCAGGAGCTGAAGGGGAAGGGGGGTTCGGGTGGCTGCTTGCAGGGTAAATCTTCCGATGGTGTTGATGTCTGCAACCTGGAGTCATGTTGTCCTCTGATGTTAGTCTTTCCCCTACTTTTTGTGTTGCTTGGTCCTCTGTCTTTTTGGCTGAGGTTAATACCACGATCATGCAAAAAGTCTTGCTGTACTAAGACGTAGACTGGATTCTGTCCTTTGGCAGAACTGCTTGTTCCAGATGTGTTAACCGTGTGCATTGCAAGCGTAGGCACTTGGCAGGCAGATTTCCTCAGCTGGCAGCTCCTCGTTGAGGCCCAGGTTCTGAGCAACAGAGGCATTTTGGAGTCTATAATACCTATGAAGAAGTAGTAGTCACTCGCACACCTTTGTCCAATGCATCAATCCGTCACTTTGTTTCTAGCCTGATGAAGGGACCATGCTAGGTTCCGAAACGTTGCTTTGTACTTGTGATGCCATGCGTATCTGTCAATAAAAGGATGGATTGATGCATTGGACCTAGGCGTGCGAATGACTACTACATCTACATTTAGATTTGTGCGGCGCCACCCGCATGTATTTCAGCACCCTCCATTATATTACCATGGGATTCAGGTCTGACAATGGGACAGGAATAATATAATTCCTGTGACTCGCAAGACTAGTGCATCCTACTGCCTACAAAACCTATCAGATGTTGAAGGCTTATTTTATTTGCTGTGAGTCTAGGGACTTTCGCCCCAGAAGCTTCTCACTGGAACGAACCCTATCTTTGCTGTAGCTGGGTCTGGACCAGTGTCTGTTCCTCAGCACTATGAAGGTAAGGCTTCTGCCCCTTACATTCTGATTCGCAGACCATTGGTCTATAACTTTTTTTTAGTAAGACCTTTGTACAGTGGATCTCATATGCTGTCCCATCATTCATTCCCTATTCACTCTGTTAGATCTGAATTTGGTTGCACTTAAGGAACAGACATTCCTCTCTCCTCTCACCCACAAGGTGCTTTTCCATGTAGCCATCACCTCTGCGAGGCACGTGTCTGAACTTTTATATTGTGGTCTTGCAAAAGCATAAGGTAGTATTAAGGCCTAGAATGCCCTTCTTGTCTGTGGTAGTTTCTACATGTCACTTAAACCAGGACATTGTTTTCCTGTCTCTCTCTGTGCAGCTCCAGGTTAATCAAAAAGAAGTTTCCCTTGCGGGACACTGGGCCCAGTTCTCTGTTTTTATGATATTACTCTCAGTACTGCTTTGCTACAAAACGAAGGCATGCTGGTATTATGGAGGGTTTTACCCTAGGCTGGCCTACAGTTTTTGGGGGGTTTTTGCTAGTGTTCAATCCTCTTAGGCGGCTGTATAATCTGAAGGTTAAAGATACCAGTGTCCTTAAATGAACTCCAAAAAAATAATTTTGTTCATATGCATAAAGTAACCAAGGACATGCTCTAGCGTTTGTTGCGAATGGAGCCCGGGCAACAGTGGAGAGAAGCAGTCAAGTAACAATTCATCTTTTTCCCTGGGCTTTATTTTATATTCTGCTCTCTTTTTTCATATTCGTAATTCCCATTTTGCAGGATTTTTTTTTTTAAATTGTAATTACGGTAAAAGCTGAACTCCAGGTAAACAACTGAACACATAGTTGAAGAACAAATATGGGAACCGGTTTGCTTGCCGGATGATTTCTGCTTCTTTTTAATCAGGTCAGCCCACTGCACTTTTACAGTGCATGCATAAGAGCCTAATTTGCTCCTAATGCTGGTTCTTTCTCTCCTATTCTGCGAGCTTGTACACAGGCAAGTACAAGATGCTGATGATGAGATAGATTCAGGTACTTTCTCTAGTTGCAAATAATACCTTTAAATAATTACATGGCTGTATTCGTTGCTATTTTCATATCTGCCTGATGTTCGGCTTTTATAAAGACCTCATCTGAGTAAAGTTCTCTATTAGTAGTGTACATTTTAGCTGGTTTTCAGGTAGTATTTGTATCACAATATATCTTCTCTTCCAATAACTGAATTCTGCCAATGGGTCCTTGCTGTAGCATATGAACTTTTTGTTGCATGAACGCCAGTTTTGTTATTATACAGGATGTATGTAGCACTAACAGTTTACACAATGCCTTACAAATTAAAGGTGAACAGTACAATTAGAATACAATTTAATAATAAAGAAGGTTAGGAGGGCCCTCCTTGTGAGAGATCACAATCGAAAAATACAGGTGAGTAATTCTACAGTTGTTTATGGTTATTGGCATTCCTTGTTCATTAAATATGAACTGGATTTTCAATAGATAATTTTCCTAATTGACCACACCTTATGGATCTACCCGATTGTCTTGCAGGATCTCCAGATGTTTCCTCATCAGAGAAAAGCCATAGCAACTTTTGAGAATCAGCACCATGCTTTGCAGTTCCAGCAGAGATTTCACAGGTAGGTAGTAGGCAGGGTGGGGAGGCAGGGGTGAGGGTTTGGTCATCAGAATGTATTGCCTATTGAGGTACAACCCTGGAAAAAGTTTTTAATTACAATATTTTTGACATTTCCCTTAACCCCTTAAGGACAAAGGCCTTTTTTTTTTCATTTTTATTCAGTTTACATGTTATAATCCACATTTTAGGCCTGAAAATTACTTAAAACCCACAAACATATATTTTCTGAAAGCCAAGACCCTGTAGAATAAAATGTTTGCATTTGCAAATTTTTATGTTGCACGACATTAGCGCAACTTATCAGACCTAAAAATTTTGTGAAAAATGCACTTAAATTAAACGTAGTGGCCCAAAACGCTGTATACATTTTTTTTCGATTTTGTAAAATAAAAAAAGATGAGGTTGCAATGAATAAATAGATACCCAACATGCCCAGGTTAAAAATCGTGTGCGTCCATGAAACTGCGACACATGTTTACGTGAAGACGCGCGGGGGACTTTAAACATTTTTTTAAAATTGTTTTTAGATTTATTTTATTGTTCATTTTAAAAACTTTTTTTTTTTTTTACTTTAATTGCTATCACATAAGGGTGCTTACAAGCCCCCTATGTGATAGCAGATGGTGGTGACAGGTACTATTTAAGGTGATGCTGGGGTTCCAAAAGACCCCCAGTGTCACCTTTACACTCCAAATAAGCAATTGAAGTGCAGATCGCACTTCAATAGCTTATTGCTGGGCTTCAGGACAACACTGACTGCTATGGGACTGGATGTGATGCAATCTGCATCGCTCCCTGTCCCATAGAACGGGGGAGGGGATCGACGAACAGAGGTTTGTCCATCTCCTCCCCAGCTTCCCCCCGTAGGAGGGGCAGCGGAGCCCGGGAAACACAGCACGGATGGGGGGCCTTCGCCGACCCGTAGAAGCGATCTGGCGACAGCTGAGTCGCCAGAATCGCTTCTACTGTTAGCCGACAGTCGGCTTTACAAGTTTAAACAGTCCCGGCAGCTTTTCTGTTTAAACAGCCCCGATGCCAGCGACGTACACTGTATGTCGTTGGTCGTGAAGGAGTTAATATTTTTAAATCTTCAGCTTTCAATAAAATAATACTGGATGATTCTGCCATCAACTGTCCCTTTCTCCTACTTGGCCATCTGCATTGTCATACGGTCACATGCGTTGAACCTCATAACAAAGACCTTTTTTTTGTCAATTTATTTTTCACTCTTGGAGTCACGGACCTCCTTTTTTTTGTTATCAAGGTGCTATTGAACAGACATCACAGCCATTATATTGGCCATGCAAAGCTTGGTCTTGTGATAAGCATACTACAGTTGTGTGCATAAACCTATAACAGGCAGCCAAGTTTTGGCAAGTTAGTTAGCTGCTGCTTGTAAAAATACTTTAAAATGAGGTATTTGACCTGCTTAGCTCTAGTGAAACAGGTTTATGTGTGAATCAAAAACTGTGTACGCCAACAGTGTGTTCTTACATTATTTCAGGCACATGATAGACTTATCACACATCAACGTATCGATGGTTGCAGAATGATTTCGTTCACAGAACATCACTGGACACTTTGCTCGGAAAGATGTTTAGTGGACAGCGCAGTGTCCCAGCGTGTACTCTGGATATCTCGATTCAGGACAATGTGTGAACAGAGGGACAGACCTGTTTGGATCTTTGCTATTGTGTGTTCTTTCGGAACGCTGATCTTTGCATGTAGGTCTGTGTGTGATGAACACATTCTTTATTTGTAGAAAAGTGATACATGATAATGGTTGCTCTTATCTTCAGTGCATGGTATCTGCATTTTTGTTCATTTCACTGTCTTGTATGTCCCACTTTGATAGATTGAGCCCCCGGGTGTATGTAGAAATTTGTGAACATAACCATTAGAGTCAAAGTGTATCAGTGCAACATTTTGGCTGAGTATTTAGCTGTTTCTGACTTGTCTTCAAAGTATCCGAAGTGCTTCAACTCCTCCCCAGTGGATGAGAAGCCATATCAGATTCCATCTGCAGCTCCACCTGTAGGTGAAACCTGACATTCCAGTCCTCCCAATAATCTGTAATTATAGTAACGCATATGAACATCAATGAACTAAGAGTCTTTCACACGGAGTTGCAGGATTTGGGGGGGACTTGTTCTTTCCTGAAGCATCTGCCAGTTTATTTTTTACGAATACAACTTAACTTCCAAGTATATTTCTCCAGACTTTCCTCTGGAATCAGTTTTCTTTTACCGTTCTGGATTTGTAGTGATTACCTGTACATAACAGGTAATTATTTCAGTTTTTACAGAATCAGAATTATGTGCAGCAAACATTAGCTACCAGAGATCAGCTTCCAGCAGCTGAATGTGCTTGATTACAATAAGGTGGAGGTTTTTATTTTAGTGATTTACATTATGCGGCTCTTTTACTCCCCAGAAGACCAGGTGATGTGTCTTACAGTGTATTGAGTTGTGCTCAGATTGAATGGTTGCTAAGAAATATTACATAGGTGCCCAATTCATGCTTTAAGTATTTATGGTAGAGCCTTCTTTAACAAGCAGTCTGTCTCAGCTTAGACTGGTTTCAGATAATGGCTCAGACTTCACATGGCCCTCAATTATTCCTCTGGAAATTAATAACGCAATGATGGTAACTAGCTAAACTAAAATCTGTAACTTAGGCGAGTAAAAAGACATAATAGGAAACCTTTTCGGCTAGAATAATGAGCTGCTGTTGCTGACTTCTTTTCAAAAGGAGAGAGCTCTAGACCAGTCATCCTTATCCTTGCTTTTTAGAGACTGACCTGGAATAGGTACGTTGGTCAGGAGTCCTGGATTTATGTATCTTCTGGATCAGTGACCTTCAAACTAGTTGAAGCATAAATGAAGATTACAGACCCAGAACTTGCACCTTGGCAGTGGCATATTTATCTTTTATTGGGTTCCCGTTAAAGAACTGCAGGCAAAAAAATTAACCCTTGCAGTGGGCCTATCCCCGCAATGCAAGGGTTAACGGCTTGTTTTGGTCTAGGGGCTAAAATAAAGAAAATACACTCGCCTGATCCTTGGTACCTGTGGCCTCTTCTCCCTCGGGCTCCAGCGGTCTAGGAACCTGCGCTGTCATCACATCTAATGCAACTGCATTTGATATGAGGACGCAGGGATGCATTCCACTGTCAGACGGAGGGGGAAGAGAGGTGAACGGTCACGACACAAAATTGAGGATGAGGTGAGTATATCTTTTTTTATTTAACCCCTAGACCAAATTGAGCAGTTAACTCTTGCAGTGTGCGGGGGTAGAGTTGTTTTCAGTTGCCTAGAGTTCTTCTTTAACACTTTGGCGAAAACTCTTTAATAGCTTAGCTCAAGGGTAATTATGGACTGGTAGTTTTATATCCATACCAGGCTCCTGGGACAGGTTTGCCGTTCCTTGACTGCAGTGTATATTGGCTACATGACTCTTTTGTCTTTGCTGTTGATCATGTAGACCGTAATCATCCTCAGCTGCTCTGGTGTGGACTGGTGTTAATTTGATATCTGTTTAAATTTGCTTTTGTTCTTTGATTTGCATTCAGATGAGGGTTGTATCTGTTAGCATTTGAAAGGTACTTTTTATACTGACATTAAGCAGATTGTTTTGCAGCTTGTAAACCAAGAGAGATGGTGCACAGGGCATGTTTTAATCAGTCCATTGTAAAACATATTTAAGTTGTGTTTGGACAAAATTCTCTGCTCTTTGTATGTGCTTACAGGGCTAATATGAAAAGCAATATTTACCCCACTTTTGCTGAGTTATGGATTGCTGTGCTGCATATGCCATAAGGCTACTTAAAGGGCTCATTTGATTGCTGCGTGATATGACCAGCTTTGGTCGAGTGTGAACTGGCTTGTTGTGGACAATTTAAATACACACTTGTATAATGAAAGTGTGTCATGTTAATGATTTCACCAGTTACTGGAAAATTGATAGGCTGTGTTCCAATGTCTGCCTCTGTCGTGCCTGTTCTGATTTGATTCAACAAATCAGAGCAGGCACGCCAGAATGCTCGAAAGCTATATGTAGGCCTTGCCAGTACGTTAGGCTTGTGTTGTCCAGGTGTTCATGTAGAGAACAGCTCAACATCCCTCATGCTAGCTTCATCTTGGTTAAAGCAATAGCAAGGTACCAAAATAGTTTTATGTCCGATTCTCATATCCATGTTTGAGGAATTGGCCAAGGGATGGATGTCCGCTGCTAACTGTTGATATGGGTTTAGACACGCTATATATGAAAACAGCCTTGAATGATCCTAATAGTAAATTGTACTTTAAAACCTGGATGTGTGTCCGTCCCCTGTGCTGATCTCTTTTCCTGTAAATGTATATAATATTCTCTAATGATGTGTGTGAGAACCATACATACACCTGATGAATAGGGCTCTTTGAGCCAGATAGTAACAGTGTCTGCTTACCCTTTTGTCATGCTAGGAAGTTTTCCAGTATGCTAATCTTTGTGCTTAAAACCCAGGGAAGTGGTTAAGGGTTGTATTTTCATGTTGATGGTTTAGTTTTGGGATATAACCAGTTACAGTATTTTAAAATTGCTTGGTAGGCAGCATTCTCTTTACCTACTTTACCAGAAGAGCCATAACACTTGTTTTATGAAGAATTTGCTGTTATAAGTGATGAGTGAATGTTCAGCTTTGTAAATAGCGAAAAGTTTTGTTCTTTATGTCTGTACAGGGCAACTGGAGCTGCTGGGAACTCTGTTGTGCTTGGACACATTGGGGTTAGTTTACCAACGGTGTGGAGACTGTTCATTTGGAAAAGTGAATGTTAACTGATCGAAGTAAATAAGGTAAAGTTGTTTAGTTTTAATACCCAGTCATGTGCAAGGTAAATTGAAAATGATTATTTTTCTTCCTTTTACATGATAGGGCGATTAAAGTTAACATTTTTTTTTACTTCCTAAAATTAGTAAGGCTCCGCTACTGATTGCGATGCGGGAGTGGGACGCCGCATGCAATCCTGCATCGCATGTTCTAGTGTTAGGCGCGATGCGGTGCCATTATTAATTGCACCTAGCCATTGCATATGTGTTGTATCGCATCATATCCTGGTGTGATTAAAAAAGAAAAAACACAAAAAGGTGCACACACTGTCATTGTGAGTTAGCTGCAATAGGCAGCCCATTCCAATGAATGTTCTGCCCTAATGCTGTGCACACTGTAGCACCTCTGCAAAGTCGCATTTTAGGTGTGGGACCGAGGACTATATATTCAGTTTGTAAAGTGAGCATTTTCCTAAGCGAGCAGTCTCTATTGCTTTAGTATATCATTACCACTGAATTTGGATGCAGTATCATGTAACTAAATTCAATAACTCGCAGCCATGAATAGACTCTATTCCTCCTGGCACTGTACAAAAGCTGAGCACATTTCATTAGAAACCTTATACAGCAATAAAACATATAAGGCATAAGTCAAGATCAGCAATTAATATTCTAAAATGCCTCATTTTGGCGCCCTGCCTTAGAATGTCAGATAAAGGGTAGATTTACCATCCTAAAAAAAGACACCAGACCTGAAATATTTCAATCGAATTTACTGTTAGCCCTTACATTGGTCTTTTCTGCCTGACAACCCATTTAACTTGGGATGAAGAGACGTGTTCTATCAAACTTTGTGAATGCGTTAGAATGTGTGACCGCTGACATGGTCACACATTTTAACGTAATCACGCCCACTTTTTCTGCGGTGGAATATGTGACTGGCAAAAGGTGAAGAATTCCAGCGCTTTCTCAGCTGTTCCAGGGCAGATCGGTTCTCCTGCGCATATGATCTGCGATGCCGATCTGCCCCAGAACAGCTGAGAATGCCTTGGTATTCTTCACCTTTTGCCAGTCACATATTCCACCGCCGAAAAAGTGGGCGTGGTTACGTTACACATTCCATCTAATTTACTGTTAGCCCTTACATTGTCACACATTCAAACCCAGTCACAGTCTTTGATAGAACAACGGCACATCCTGGAGGTAATGGTTTTTACCCTAAAATCTTAGATTGAGAATAAAAAGTCACCTGTTTCTGTTCTTTATTACTCACCTTAATGCACTTTCTTCCACACTCTTCAATCCAGTAGTCAGCCCTTAGTTCCCCAAACCACTTTGTAGAATCCCTTTAGGTCATTTAGATTGTAGCATCTGTAGCTTTTGCTATCAGTTATTTTGAGAAGATGTAGGGCAACCATTATCTGTGTTATCACTTTGAGAGTTGATACAAGTTTCAAATGTTGCATTTTTGTACATACCAAAAAAAAAAGCGAAAAAACTTTTTGAAGTAAGATATTTTCCTGTCAGAACATCTCTACTCTTCGGACTTTAATTTCCTGAGAAAACTTCAGTTGCATAAGTGTTTGTGTTCCTGTGTATTTCTTCAATTTTATAAAGAAAATTAGTAAGTCAAACATTTTATCCAAACTAGTGCATTTGTTCTTTCCATTTACCTTTACATCTTTTCAAGTTAAAAAAAAAATACTTTTTTGTTAGTTTTTGTTTTGTTTGTTGTTTTTTTTTCATGTAATTTTGTTTTCTCATCAAGTATTTGTCTTTAAGATTGTATTATAGTTCCATTTTTTTTTTTAAATGTATGTTGTAATTTAGATATGAAACAGGAAAACTGAGAAAAAAAAAACTAACTTAATACTACTTTCTACCTTCATGTCAGTGGGGCAATCTTTGTTTTGTTCTATCAATATTTTTCTGGTCTTATCTACAGTTGTGAAACA